TGGACCCACTGCAGAGCCAGCAGCAGGGCCCATTTCACCCTCCGAGAGCCTGGTCCCTCCTTCCCAGTGACACCCCCCCTGCCCCACACGGACGAGGAGCCCTGGGCCAGTTCCAGTCAGACCCTGGCGGAGACGCACAAGCCTCCCGAGCTCGTCCCCTTCTCCTTGTGTCCCGAGACGGCCAGGCCCCCCAGGGCCTTTGGACCCACTGCAGAGCCAGCAGCAGGGCCCATTTCACCCTCCGAGAGCCTGGTCCCTCCTTCCCAGTGACACCCCCCCTGCCCCACACGGACGAGGAGCCCTGGGCCAGTTCCAGTCAGACCCTGGCGGAGACGCACAAGCCTCCCGAGCTCGTCCCCTTCTCCTTGTGTCCCGAGACGGCCAGGCCCCCCAGGGCCTTTGGTGGGTGGACAGAATCCCACAGGGCTCTCACACCCCAGGGGTGACATATACCTGCCCTGCGTGGTCACCCTCCAGCCTCCCGCTGCTGTGAGCCCCGAGCACAGTTGCTGCTGGGGTCCAATACCCGTCTCCCCCGCCCCTGCCCAGCTCTCACCCTGGTGTCCAGCTCCTCGGCCTCGTCGGGTGTGGTGCAGGTGGTGTTGATGCTGCCGTTACACTCCTTGGTGTTGATCAACAGTGGGGAGTTCCCATGGGAGGACGTCAGGGACAGCTTCTGGAACACAGACGAGCAGGGGGGAATTTAGCCACCGGGGCCGAGATCTGGCTTTCCATTTCCAGGCCCGCTGCCTAGGCCTCATGCTGGGCCCTCTGCATGGGGTGAGGGATCATGTTTTCCCAAAGGGAAAATGGGACACCCTATGGGGCTGGCCCAAGGTCCCCAGACTGAGTCCCCCTGGCTTCCCCCCACACACGGCCAGCCTGGCCTGAGCCTCTCTGCACCTCCATATGTTCCTCTGCACCCTGCGGGGAGCGGGGGGGGGGGTCACACCCCACTTTTTGGCAAAACTGTGCATTTGTCCCGTCTGCTTTTCTCCACTGACGATCAGATGCCAGGAGCAAATGAGACAAAGACCCTGTTTTTCCAAAACCCGCCGGGACGGCTGCAACAGGGCTTAAGAAAGGGGACTGTCCTGGCCAAAATGGAGGTGTGGTCGCCCTGTGCATGGGTTGAAATTCAGCCACGTGGCTACCCATATGGGAAAGCCCAGGAGTGCAGTCCTGGGGGGAAGGGAGGCGGCGTTGGAGGGCGGAGAGTGAATGGGGCAGAGGAAGTTGTAGGATGGTTATTAGCCAGTGGTGGAAGTCACCAGAGACAGAAGACGTCTCTAGGAAAAGGGCAGGAGTGCCATCATTGGGGACGCGCGCAGTTCTCCAGGCCCGAGGAAGGTGTAGAACCAGAGGCTCAAAGGAATGGGAAGCGCGGGGCCAAGCAATCCCACCTCAGAAGGACAGAAACGGAGCCAGGCTTCGCAAGCCGGAGAACGGAGCCCCGGGCAGGCCTCAGACGAGGGAGTGGCGCCGGATGAGACAGAAGGAGCCGGAGGAGGACGGTAACTCACCACTCCATTGATCCCGTTCTTGACAGGCGGCTTGGGCACCAGGATGAGGTACGTCACGATCCCCTTCTCCTTCAGGTAGTCACACCGTGTGCCCCCCTCTCCGGGCTCCACCTCAAACTCCCCTTTCAAGCAGTCCATGGTGCTCTGGGAGATGTGCACACGCCTGCGAGCCGGGGGAAAGAAAAGGGCGTTAAGGCCCCTGCTCCCTTCATGCCAGCCCCAGGCAGAACTCAGCAGGTTTCAGGGAGGGCATCTGGTGAAGCACCCGGAGGGTATTAAGGTACCCGTGCGAAGGCCCTTCTCACCCCCATCCACCAGGAAAGGAGGCAGGACTGTGTTATCAAAGAGAACCCTGGGTCCCAGCAGGGATGGGTTTCCACGGGGAAGTTGGGACTGGATTGAGCGTAGCAAAGTCCCATGTGTGGCGGAGGGAAGTGCAGCAGCGGCTGCAGCCGGGCCCTGCCCTGTGGGCGGCTGGAGCAGCAGAAGCACACTGGGAGCCAGCACGGGGACTGGAGCATGGGGCAGCCCTGCTCACAACAGCCTGTCCCACAAAGGAGGCAGCACTCTGCCTGCAGACAAACCCAAGCCTCCGCACTGCTTCCAATTCCCGCCAGAGGTGGCGGGGCACAAGCAGTCAGCCAGCAGGAACCCCTCCCGCCTTCCCTGCAGGGCACCGATGTCAGTCCGGCCCACGTCCCTCTTTTCACCGGACCCTCCTCAGCTATTTGCCATGAGGCCCCACTTGGCTCCAGCCGCCAGGTAGGGGATGCAAATCCACAGCCCACGTGTGGAGGGTGTTTCAGGCGGAGGCTTGGCCGAGTCCCCGCCCAGGCGTCTGGCTGTCTCCGACGATTTCCCAGTGCCTCGGCGCAGTCGCTGCTTCTAAGTGGCTATTCCTGTTATTAATCATCAACCCTGGCATCTCCGCCCGGGCGGACCCAAGGCGCTGCGGCTGACCCCAGCCGGAGAAAGCCGATTTGTTACCACCCTGGGCATTCCAGCTGGCTGCACTTGGCTGCTCCTTGCCCCAGGGCTGGGATTTCTTCTCAGTGACAAGCCCCTGTGTGCTGTGCTGTATTTGCACTTAGCTGGGTCTGCGGGGCTCCTGGCTATGGAGGAACTGCTCCCAGAACAGGGTCACCGGCCGTCTGCTGATCTCCATGCCCCTGCCATGGAACCATGTCCCCGTCCCCACCCCCCAGCCACTCTCCTAGCGACTGCGCTTGGAACAAATTGTGTGTGTGACTCCCAGGGCTTCAATTCAGGCACAGCAGTCCGGGGCGGAAACATTTTCCACTCCCCTGGCATTTCTATAGCATACTGCCTTCCCCCAGCAAGGGCCTGGGGAAATACTCAACCCGAATTTAAGCCCAATGACTCCAGCTGGCTCCAAATGTGGCCCTGGGATGTTTACCACATGGGAGTGTGGGGGCCTGGCAGTCTGGGATTTCTGAAAGGTCCCCTGTTCCCCTCGGCCTGCTCTCTTGATGGGCTTTCGCCCTTCTGTCTCTGCCCCTCCTTCTGATCCCACCGGAAGGCCAGGCTAAGAAGGGGGAAGAATGAGATTTGTAAACCACGATCCTGCTGAGGGGCCACAGGGACCAATCCTGCCCTGGGCGGGAGATGGGCTGTGTGGGACCGAAAGGGGGCAAGTACTGGCCAGAACCTAGACATGGCTCCTGCTCAGGGTCTCCTACCTCTGCACGGGGGGCGGATGAGAGTGCCGCGGGGCCCCAGGCAGTGAAATTTCGCGGGGTCCCCCCTTTGACATGGTGCATGCGCAGGGCACACGGGACATGTGCGGGGCCCCACTTGCCCTGCCCTAAATCCGCCGCTGCTCTGCACAGTGCTCTCTGCTGTTGTGAACCAAGACCAAGAGGAGGGGAATGAGTCTGAGACAGAGGGTGCTCTCTTGCTCGCCCTCAGTGCAGCACTGGGTAAGCACCGGCATCGACATCACCTTGGCGGCAGCGGCAGCAGCAGTAACACTAGGGGGAGGAATAGCTCAGTGGTGTGAGCATTGGCCTGTTAAACCCATGGTTATGAGCTCAATCCTTGAGGGGGCCATTTGGGGTAAAAATCTGTCAGGGATGGTACTTGGTCCTGCTGTGAAGGGACTGGACTTGATACCTCTCAAGGTCCCTTCCCATTCTAGGAGATAAGCAATCTCTGTTCATAAGGACACCTTTAAGATGAGCATCAGGGCCAGTGGATGGAAGGGGACCAATGCCTCTTTAGGCCAGTGGTGGGCATCCTGCTCTCAGCATGGCCCACAAGACAGTCTGTGTACTGCTGCTCACGTTCAGGGTTGCCAGATTCTGATGGTTTCCAGCCCCATAGGTTTTTTCCCTATCGGTGTGACTAAAGCAACGTGCACGTAAAGCCAGGGCACATGAAGGGAGGGGCGTGCTGACTGCACACAACACTGATGGCGAGAGCCGTGCGCTCCCTCTGCATCCAATCAAAACGCTGCTGCCCCGTGCACAAATTCTAGGCATGCAAGCACAGCGAACAAAGCTGCCCTGCCCTGAGAGACTGTCTTGGTTCTGACGATCTCGCTGCCCCCTGAGATGAAGGAGGTCTAGGTTGCCCATCACTGAGCTAGCCACCGCAGGCTTCCCCACCCCCCTGCCAAGGCTTGGCATGGACAGTCCACCGTACGGGAGCTACTCACCCTGGGATGCCACCAGCCTCCATCTTGTTAGCCACCGTGACGTCTGTGGACCACACGTCGTACTGCCAGCGCTTCTGGCCCAGCACACCCCCCAGCACCGTGCCGCTGTGGACCCCCACACGCATGTCCACGTCTGTTTTGGTCTTCTCTCGCACATAGCTTTGGGAGAGGGAGAGAAGGGGTCACACAAAGAGGTCACTTAGATCCACGTCTCAGCCAGTAAATTCCTCGGCTAAGCCTCACGCCCTCATCCATCAGCAGTATGCAGAGGTCCTGGGCCAGAACCAATTGGGAGAGGCCTCCCCGAAGATGCGAGAGTTATTCTGGACTGAGGCCACTGCTGACAGGTTGGTGTGTTCATTCGCAGACATGCAAGGGGCCAGATCCCATGAGTTCCACCAGTTTGCGCCAGCTGCGAATACGCCCGTAGTGCTTTTGCAGCATGAAAGCGACAGTCTGTCCTTCCTGCATGCCTTTCGCCTACGGCTCTCACCCATTAATGAACTAACCCTCACAACCCACCTTCCCCAAGGGGGCCCGTATCTGGCAACCCGGTCAAAAAACACCCGACTTGAGCATCAAAGGAACAGCCCAAGTTACTTCAGATGCCTTTGAACATGTTACCTGTCATTAATCCCATTTTACAGGTAGGCACTTCCCCAATGACATGCAGTGAGTTAGCAGGAGAGTCCGGACTCCTGACGTGGAGTTATCTACTCTAACCAATAGGCCATGTGCCCCCAGGACACCTCAGTCCTACAGCTGAAGTTGCAAGCCAGCTTTCATTATAATTCCCACAATTAACTTGTTCAGAGCGTTCAATAAATCTCTCCTTGGGGCTGAAATTTTCCATCCCTGCTTTCAGCTTAAAGGTGAATTTTGAGCAAAACTCTTCAGATGTTTTTCAGTTCTAGGGGAGGGGTAAAAATATAATCTTTTCCACTTTAAGTATGTGCCTGGCCCCCTCACCATTTTATCTGCACACTTAGCAATTTTCAGTGTATTTATCCTCCAAATACCTTTGTAAGGGAAGGCTAGGCTATTAACCCCATTGCACAGATGGGAAACTGAGGCACAGAAAGGCCAAGTGCCTCACAAAGCAGCTGTGTCAAAGCAGAGAATTAAACTCCGGTTTATCAAATCCAAGGCTAGTGTCCTAATTACTGCTTCGGGAATCCTGAAGTGCCTAGGCAAGTGTTTTTAAAGGTTTTGCCCACCTACCTCTGCTAGTCATCTAAAAACCCCATCTCATAATGAGCTCAGCTCTGTGTATGCTACAGCGGGTTTTTGTGTGGACATGAACACTCACATTCAAACCCTAAGGTGCTGCCCCCTTGTACAATCCCACAACACTAAATTCAGTCTTGCTCCTTCCCTTCTCCTTCTTCAGTCCTTTAAAACACAAAGCCGGGAAATCACATGCCACAAACTTTGCGGGCACAAAATGAAGGCTTCACATCTAACCACACACAAGCAGCACTTCCAAAGGCACACTGGGACCAGAGCAGCAATAATAGACAGTAGGGATGTTAGCATGTAGTCGTGTAAATGACTGCCTGGCCTTATTGGTTAATACTAACAACTACTACACACATCATATATATATAATATATGCTATATAATCTATGCTATCATGTGCCGAAAGTGTCCGTCTGCTATGTACATTGGACAAACGTCTCAGACACTTCGCCAAAGGATTAATGCCCACAAAACAGATATCAGACAAGATCACAAAGAAAATACAATTTCTTGCCATTTTAACCAGAAAGGACACTCTCTAAATGACTTAGCCACCTGCATTCTGCTACAAAGACCTTTTACATCTGCACTTGAAAGGGAATCCTCTGAACTGTCATTCATGTTAAAATTCGACACTTACCAACAAGGACTTAACAAGTCTTTGAACTTTCTCACCCATTACCAAGACAGTTTCCCCAATTATCACCTGTAATACCATTAACTCACAAACATCCCACTCTCCCTACCTTTAATATCAGCAATTCACAGACACTTACCTTCCTTCCTCCCCCTTCCCACCCCCCCGCATCCCCCTTCTGTTCTGCAATGTGATTTGTCCTTTTCATATTTGTTCATTTTTTTAAATTGTATCCTTTGGTATATATGGTTGTGACTACTTTCTTCCACTATTTGATCTGAGGAAGTGGGTCTGGCCCACGAAAGCTCATCATCTAATAAACCATCTTGTTAGTCTTTAAAGTGCTACATTGTCCTGCATTTTGCTTCAACTACCCCAGGCTAACACGGCTACATTTCTATCACCAATCTGGAGGGGAGCTAGAGCGTTAGTGTGGGAACCTTGAGTCTCGAGGGCCACACTCACGTGAGCTGGGGTATTAGGTTCCTCACCCCTGCTTTAAAAACAAAACCTCTTACTCTTAAAAATCGATCCCCGTATCTCTGGTCGGACCACCTTCACGCAGGTCCTCCGGGATGGAAAACTGCAGCCAGACACCCCTGGCTGCCTCTCTAGCAGAGGCAGCAAAAGGCGGCTGCTTCCCATTCATGCCAGCTCCTGTAAAGCTGTCTGTCCCCTCCTCAGCGCTGCTACCTCTGATAGAGAGGCAGAAGCATGGGCGGTGAGGGAGGCAGGCGGGAGCTGGTACGGGTGGAAAGCTGGCTTTGATGGACCCCCCCCACACACCATGGATATTAATATACATAACTCAAAGGTGCTCTGAGCGAATTAGTTCATGTAACCTACCAATCTTCATGTCATGATGCGCTGGTTCTGTTTATCTTATTTTAATGTGCGTATCATTTTTGTGCTTAAAATTAGACATATGGAGTGGGGAATACTTCCTGATTTTTAAATGTGTGAATGAAAGTCATCAAGTGAGGCCTCAGTGTCTGGGAAGTCCAATACAAAGACCTTAAGGCTTAGCAGTGGCTGGTAGGGAGTGGCCAAGTGACTCCCCAGAGGATAAGGGAACTCTAAAAAGAACAGGAAGGTAGGAGACTAACACGGCTACATTTCTATCACTATTCTACAAGGAAGGTAGGAGTTTTTGTCTTTTGGCTGGGCTGCACCTGAAGAAAGGAGTCCAAGACCCCAGGATGGAGAGACATCCCTGGTTTGGAGGGGCAGCTGGAAAAAGAGGCTTTAGGGTGAGTTTGAAGAGTTTGCACTGAGGTTTCAGTGTAGAATTAGCCAAGCGTTTCTGTTTCTTTTGATTTGTAACCTGCTTTGCTCTGCCTGTTCTCAGGGTATGTCTACACTACCCTCCTAGTTCGAACTAGGAGGGTAATGTAGACATACCCTCAGAGTATTTTAGCATTGGCACCTTGAACCCTGCAATACAATTAATTCTGACTGAAGTCTTCCTTAATCATGCAGCTTTTCTTCCCCTACACATTATACATAGGCATGTAGTCAGACCTGCAGTGGTTTAGTGCCTTTACTGCTTCTCAGGGGGACAGGGATCTCAGCTCAGGGCCTCGGCAGGGGGAGACGAGTGGGGCAGGCCCAGGGCAGTGAGAAGCCCCCGAGAGCGGGAAGGCGAGTGGCAGTGGCACCCCCAAGGGGTTTCCTGTGACCACACCCTGTCCCACTGGCTTTCAAGCTGGCTCCCTCCTCGTACCGGCTCCCACCAAGCCACCTGCTCCCCCCTCCCCTGCACTGCTACCTCCCACACAGAGGCAGCAGCGCTGGGGAACAGGTGGGAACCAGCACGTGACTCCAGTGCGGCTCCCCACAGAGGTAGGACCGGCTCTCACAGAGATGCCTGCACCCCTCCCCCACGCTGCTGCCTCTGATAGCGAGGGAGCCGCGCAGGGACAGACGGGACAGGCA